TGGCTGCAACTGGCCCAGTGCGTGATGTTCACTGATGTGAACACGTACGAGCTCCCTCTAGCTCATGAAGTGCCAGAGCGAACAGACTCTTCCCTGATTACTCCGACTCCTTCTCGTGATTTACCTGCGTGTGCAAGAGGAGCCTTAAGCACAACCGAGATTCACGTTTCGCTTTCGCATGATGATCTCGATGCCACGCGGACCATATACGCCTTCATCCTTGTCCATCTCGATCCACAAGTCCTCGAGAAAAGCCCACGTTTGTGTTACCCTTGGTTTGTTCTCTGGGGCAGTGTTCATTTGTGCTCTCATCATCTCGCGATGTCGAGTCTTGCGGCACACCTGCAGGGGAGATAACTTGTTAGCACGCACATATCTGTCACGTCGATAGTTTGGGAACTTACCGAACCTACGATACGCGCACCCCAGTTCATGGTTGAGTGGACGCGCGATGTGGGCGAAAATTTGGACGCAATGTGGATCGTTTGGTCGAGGATATCGTCCACTGTTTGCATAAGAGAAGCAGTAGGCCGCTCATTGCCGTGGAACATTGTGTGAAGGAAGATTAACACGACTTGCTGTTGGATTTGACCAGCGAACCGCTCATCGGCATCGTCCTTGGCCAATGATGAGGGACTGGGCTTCCAAGCTTTGATCAATCTTTCGAAGTGACGTTTGTCTTCGGCTTTTCTAGTGGGATCTGGCTCACGCGCATGTTGCCGTGCCGACTCTGCTATGGGCATGATGAGACCAAGCAGCTCATGGTAGGACCCCAATAGTACTCCATGTATTTCGGTGCCCCAGTTGAGTGAGTTTAGCGCTTCTGGTGACAAGAAGTCATCATATGGAATGTGGCGACTAACGGCGAAATCCGTATTGAGCGTCAGGTTCGAGTTGATGGCCAAGAAGGCATAGATTTCTGTGAGGAATTCCAATAATGGCCCATGACTACTGTGGCGAGCTCTAAGCTCGAGTAACACAGTGCGGCTGGCACGGAGGTGATGGTAGACACTTCCATTCATTTCACTGGATAGGCTCTATTGTAATCGTTAGCGCAAGTTGTTTCTTACAAAAACGCCTCATCGGTTTAAAAAGCCGAAAGAAGGATAAACTAAAGACAAAGAGAGATTGGAGACCCACCTCAAACCAACACATAGCCAACATGACGATGAGGAGGCTAATCAGGTTCTGAGTGCTAGACTCCTTCCAGTCGAGGAGCCCATGCTTGACGCTGCGTAGTGTCACTGCGTAATAGGATCGTGCATCATGCTCGAACCGATCACCCTTGTAGCCACGCAGATGGGCTCCACTCAATGCTAACAAACACCCGACAACTCGCGTATCCTGGTACGCCACAGGCAAAAGATAGCTTACAAAAGGGTTGATGGGTAATATGCGGCCGGCTATTTCCGCAGCCGTCACCTTGATGTAATGATCGAAGATGTGCTTTTCGCTCTCGTTTCGCAGCCCAGGCATGCCATTTCCGAGGGCCGGATATACACCAGTGCAAGGTAGGGGAAGCAAATACCGCATTTGTTTTTTGTCTGGTGTAACGACTTGCTGCGTGGTCGTGCCGCTGCCGTTGCCGCCGCCGCCACCGCGTGCTCCCTTGCTCAATCCTACGACAGGACGACGATGCGGGGCCGCCTCGCGCTGCACGCTATCTGACGTGTTTGCTGATTTCGTATTCTGAGTGGCAGATGATGGCCAGGTGCAGATGAGATGATTGCGCTGACAGCCAAAGCACGTGGGATGCTGTTCGTCGCACTTCTTGCGGCGAGCCCGGCATGTGAGGCAACCTGTCTTGGACTTGAGGCGCAGCGATCCATAGGCCGGCTGCGGTGACATGGTTCAATTGAGAAGGACAAATGATTGCGTCGGGCTATGTATCTGCGAGACACCCACATAAAATGATGGGCCAAACGATCACTGGGCATGCAAGAGGCAAGGTCCTGGCCCCCTGGAACCGGGCGTAGGCTTGGATTACCACACGTGACCTTATCGGGAGCGCGCTTATCTTAGCGCGTCGTGGCGCTTGGGCGGCTTTCCTCAACGAGCATCCTGTGTAAGTATGTATACGAGCAGATACCTCTACGGGACCTATGAACGCGTCCATTCTTTACACCGTGAACGGACCGAAGGCTACTAGATCTCCCCTTTCATTACAATGAATACCATACGCGTACTCCATAGGAATGCTGCAGAACCTCGAGGCAGACCTTCCACTTCCAGACAAGCGCGTCAGTTCTCATTTTAAGATGATAACCTTCCCTATTGAGTCTCTTACTTTCCGCTCGCTGCACGATGGTTCAGATCGTCAATAGCTACACAAAGTATAACGAAGGCAGGCCCGAATCGACATGGTGGGCAAAGCCACGCTCGTCCTGACCTGTCCTCGTTCCAAAAGCAGAGCAAAAAAAAGAACTCATGACCTAACCAGGGGTCGCTATCTCGAAGTTAGTGGTCTGATTCGAATAGAACCGGACTGAATGAGTCCAACTTACAACCTGGAATCTCTTGATATCGAACTCAATCGTAGTCAAGCGCCTTGCCATTGGGCCATTAGGCCATCTAATCAGATGGATGGTGAGCTCGAAAATTGAATGGTATCTATCACCCAACTATTGGAGTGAACAGAACAAACAGGCTATAGATCGCCAGAACAAGTGTGATTGAATTTTTGGACATCGGCGGGATGTGTGTGTATAGCGTAAAAGAATTTTGCGCGTGGGGTGGGGATGGGTCGGAGTGGTTCGGCGACTTGGAAGTACAGCATAATGTTGGATGGATAAGTATTTGGGGAAGCGGATTTAATCAGTAAGTTATCAGCATTGCTATCATATTTTCATACACAAGAATCGAAGAGTGCACGGTTCGATATATCGGTTGTAAGCTATCTGAAGCGGTATGTCTTCCACTCACCAAGCGCTTAAGCTCGCGCCGCAGGTTGCTGCAGAGTGCTTCCACCATCAGGGTAAAGTACTTGCTCATTGTAAAAGACGCCTCCAGGTCCAGCAAGCATGAGCACAGTCGCAGCCATGTCAGTGTCGGCTCCAGGGCGGCCGGCAGGGTTCGACATTTCTGAATCCATGCGGCTCTTGTTGTCTTCGTCGGAAGAGCCAGTTGTCATCTGTTGTACGCTTTTAGTACACGGATCCGATTTTAAAGAACCAATATAAGCAACGAGATGGCATGAAAAAGATAGTCTTGCTTACCTCACTAGGGAAAACCCCGGGTGCGATGGTGTTAACGCGGACCTTGGTGCCCATGAATGTCGTTGCAAGCATTCTACTGAGGTGCGTAGCCGCTGCTTTGCTGGAAGCATAAGCGAATTGACCATTGCTGCTACCCTTCATGTACCCTGAGATACTGCTCACGTTGATGACCTGTGAACTGTATCCTGGGGTGACGCTGCCACCCTTGGCAAGCAGAGGAAGGAATGTCATGCTCATCCAGTAGATGCTTCCGACATTGGTTTTCATAGTATCAGCCCACTGCTCGGGCTGCGACTTGAGGAAGTGGTCAGAAATAGCTTGAGCGTCTTCCATGTTGGGCTGGCCGTTTGAGGAGAATTTTGTGTTCTCGTCGCGCGCAATTCCGGCATTGTTGATAAGGAGTTGGATTCCTTTGGGCTCCTTTTGGCACATTTCATCGTAGAGGCGCTTCACATCGTCCTTTTCACTGTAACAGTGTCAGCTCTGACACTCCGCTTGGCCAGTCCTGTATGGGATACTCACCTGACATCGGCCTGAATAGGAATGATTTGTCCTGGCCCGGTGTTGTACACTTCTTCCGTTTTCTTCAAGACCTCATCACGCCTTGATGTGATGTAGACCTTTGCACCGTTGGCGACCAGCGCTTGTGTGATCATCAGCCCGATTCCAGTTCCTCCTCCAGTAACAAGAGCAGTGATGTGTGACACATCGAAGAGCCTAGAGCCCTTTAGATCCTCGTTGCTTGCTTTTCCCATGTTTCTGACTATTTGATAGGAGGTTCTTGGGATGAATTGCTTTGTGCTTGACAATGGTGTGATTGATCTGGTAGCTGTTGGTAGAGTTTTTGAAAAGAGTCGAAGCATTTTGAGATATAGTTGTAATGGGTTCTGCCTTTATGTGGTATGAAAGTGGATGGACGATGTCACAGTTTGCATGCCGATATGATGACGTTGAGACGACGCATGGTCTAATGCGTTAGGCACTGGCAGGACGGCAGAACGGCAAGCCCCCATACTATGCGCTCACCTTTGTTTCAAAAAAAAGAACTTTAAGTTCAAGCAAAACTAGGCCTATTACTATCTACCAGAGTTGTTACATCAACCAGTCAACTTGTTCCGAAATTGGGAAGCATAGCTGGCACTGCATTTCCTGGAATTCCTTTTTTTCAAGGATGCATACCAAGCAAATAAATTTCAATTCACAAGTGCTTGGTCTTATAATTTCTCTATATACTGCTTACTTTGTCGCATCGACCTAATTCAAAGTCATGGTGTTGAGGACTTGAGGATGATGACGTCACATCTCGAGGCTACACATACCCGATTTATCTCCGGTTCGCGATCTTACTTCACCACAAGAATCACATTAGAAACATAGTTAATCTTACAAACTATTGCGTTGCCCGTCCTACAGCACATGCACATTACCAAAAACCCTGAGGTATCACGCAATCGAGACTTTTAGTCAGCATGTCAGCCTTTGATTGGACGATGGGGATTAGTAACAGCCTCGGAGATAATGCCATGGCATCATCGCCACAAAGATGCCGAATGAGGGGAAGCATGGGCAGATGAAGGGCGTGTTGTCGTTTTGTATTTCTAACCACACGGGTATATATAACAGCTTTTGCTGTCTCCTACTATCCGGCCGCACATCTAAAGCATCTACAATCGCAAGCATCACCTCAACAAGCAACTACCGACCTCAACATAGCAAGACTAGATTGTGCTATTAAACATATCGCATATCGAAGAAACACCTAGTACATAGTGTTGCGACCACAAAATGACCACCGCCGCCTCTCGCCCGACACCTGCGCATCAGCTGTCTAACCCCGCGCCCACTTCAAGCGATGTAACATCGCGGGACGTAAACTTCCAAGGTCTGCCTATTCCACGAGGCCCTGTCAAAGCACAGCTTTCTTTCTATAAATCCCCCGAAGATGGCGCACCGCCACACAACTACGTTGAGCCTCCCCCAGGCGTCCCACAGCGGAATTGGGGAGACAATTGGGCTGAAGTTACCATTGAAGACCTACGAGGCAAGGAACAAAACTTCACCCTCGACAACAACGCCTTCGACACATTCCAGAACATCCAGAGTGGCCTTACTAGAGAGGATTTCGAGGACGACGAGGCTATAAAAAGGGTCTATTATCCCGAGGTAGAAGATCTCTTGCTGAAGAACGTACAAGGCGCACAACGGGTTCTTATCTTCGATCACACAGTCCGCCGACCAACCGGCAACCGCAACCCCGTCCAGCGCGTCCACATCGACCAAACCCCTCTCTCTGCCGCCGAACGCGTCAAACTCCACGCACCAGACGACGCTGAGAAGTTACTGCAGGGTCGCTATCGCATAATCAACGTGTGGCGCCCGCTCAATGGCCCAGTAATGGGTAGTCCACTCGCTGTCGCCGACAGCCAGACTGTACGAGACAGCGATCTGATACCGATTGAGCACCGATACCCGCATCGCAATGGCCAAACAGCGGCTGTGGCGTATAACCCGGCTCAGAAGTGGTATTACTGGTCTGGAATGAAGAATGAAGATAGGCTGTTGCTCAAGTGCTTTGATAGCGATGAGATTGTTGGTCAGTGGGGTCGCGTGCCGCATACTGCTTTTGTGGACCCCAGGACGCCGGACGGCGCTGTGGGCAGGGAGAGTATTGAGATTAGGGCGCTGGTCTTTGGATGAGCTTTTGGTAACATCTGAATATGCATGTTAGGGATTTCTGTTTCGTTTTCTGTTTGTTTTAATTGTCGCTTCTGATACATTTAGCCTTGGCGTATTGCATTGAGTGTTATGCTATGTTGTCATTCCAAATAGTTGGCAACTAAACAAGTGAAATTGATCATTTTACTCCACTATTTTCTACTATCTTCTCTCAAAGTCTTCATTGATTTTCCAACAGATTCACCATCATCACATGATTTCAAAAGGGCATCCCAGATAAGAGCCGTCTCACATCAAGAAGAGATCCACGTCAAATCATGTAGTAGATTATCTACAATCCAATAAGATCGTAGAGTAAATCAGTCGAGTATATTCCTATTACTTCCAAACCAATCGTCTATTCCATAAATGCAATCATCAAAGCTTGGGTATCCTCGTATGCCAAACTTGAAAGAAAAAAAAACGCTATGCGTCTAACCAAAACATCAGAGAATGGAAGAAATGCCTCAATGTATTCCTTAACCGTAAGGACCGTTATCGAATCGTACTCATTAAAATTATCAAAATCTAGCATTGGGGGATCGAAAACTGGAAATCTTTCTCTATCCGTACAAATCTCGATTATTTGGATCACTCTTTGGCGGCAGAGCAGTGGGCTGATTCGCTCCGGTACTTGCTGGCTCCTCGCTCACATTTGCAGGGGGCGCTGGGGCCGGAGTAGTGGGTAGAGGGGCTTGAGGCGGCGGGCTAGGAGGAGCAGAGGGAGGAGCGTTGTGTGTAGCGTCCTGTGCGGAATGAACGGGAGGAGGATGGCCTATTGCCGACACGGGAGAATGCGACACTAGGCTTCTGTCTTTTGCAGCGTCGCCGTAGAAGCCAGCTTGTTGGGGAGGCGGGTAGACGTAGCCTTGTGGGGGTACGAAGGCTCCGTTTGGTCCCTGGACCCAACCGGGAGGTGGAGGACCATAGTAGTAAACTTGACCAGGGGCAGCAGGTCCTCCAGCAGCAGGTATTTGCGAGATCTCTGGGTGCAGTAGCTGACCTGGAGGAACAATGCCTACGGTAGTCTTGCTGAACTGGCCCAGTAACTCCTCTGGGTACTTGTGTCGGAACCCCCACTTCCACCACGCCTTGAAAGCCGCACCGCTACCCATATTCTTCCATTTCTCGGCGAGTAGCTTCTGGTCTTCTTTGCTGCGGCGGTCCTGCATGCGCGTAAAGCAGAGAATCCAGAGGGAGATGAGGACCCAGGAGATGGTACCGAAGCGCATGGCGCTCCTGCCCATCATGAGGCGGCGAAACCAAAACCACGATTCTAAGAAGCCGAGGAGAAATAGGGCAGGGATGACGCTGGCAATTACGATGATGTAGGTTCTGAGATATGATCCGCAGTAGTAGTAGCAATCGTCGTCGTAAGAGCTTGAGCGGCCGCTGCCGGAGCCGGAGCTCGAGCCAGTCGAACGAGAAGGTGGTGGAGTGCTACATGAGGCAATGTAGTATTCGTAGTAGTAGTCTGAGGAGGAATGGAAAGGTGCAGCGCCGGCTGTGAGGTACCATGTCTCATACTTGTAGACGACGGAACCGTACGAGTCAGTCGTCGTACCCGCCTCAGTTGAAGACGGAGATATTTGTGCCGTCACTTGCGTGGGAATGGAGACAGAGGCAGTGGTTGTGATGGTAACTATTGGTTTAGTCAGCATGTGGTGTTTATACTGTGAAATAGATAGACTGATACATACATGGTGTGGGACATGAAGCAGGTGCAGTCATTGTGACTTGCATACTGTATCTGGTACTTGTGCTTGTTGATGTTGTTGTTGCAGTTGAATGGTAGTTGTATGTAGTCTCAGGAACGAGATCAGACTCTGCCACAATACCAGTGGCATAGTAAGCTGCCACAATCTGAACATCGGTGTCGTACCAGTCCCGAGAAGTAGTGACGAGATAGGGAGAAGCAGTAGGAATGACATCGTCCTTGATGGTGCGCGTTGACGTGTAGGTGTCAGTTATGACACTGTCGTCATAGTATGTATATGGGCTCTCGGTGACTTGTTCTGCATAGCGAGCGGTAACAGTCCAGAAGGCTGCCGAGGAGTAACTGGAGGAGTAAATGGAATCGTAATACGGGTCATCGGTCGTAGACTGTGCACTCGCAATAGCGGCGCTGGCGAAGGCCGCGAAGGCGTATCGAGCAGCCATCATGGCGCAGGATTTGGGGATGAACGATTGAAAGTCGCGAAACGCGAGTATTAGATATTAGAGTGTACAGTTGGAGTGTCTTTCCAATGTCAGGGCAACGGCCTCATTTTAAGCAGAGTCAAGCACACGGCACCCTTCACGACGGCTAGTTCACCGGTCGTGCAAAGGGTTCAGTCATATCTCGTTTCCCCTAAGCGATCAAGGCAGCCTCGCGCTTGTTGCAGGGTCTGCCTCCTTTCCCCCAATCACAGCACGATCGCAATGGCGGTTGGCAAATTCTGCGGGAGGTCTAGATGTTTAGCGGAATTGTAGTGTCTATCTTTGGGTCCTTGCGCATCATGTCAGTCTAGTGGCATGCAGGGGTGAGCGGGAGGCCTGAGGAGGATAAAGGCTTGCACTGCCCGCACGTTTATTGACAAGACAACTTTGAGCTTGGTGCTGCAGCAGTACGATCTTCTCAAGGGTCTATGTTGTAGTGCATGGATACACCTTTCTTCTTGGCAATGACGTGGTTGGGCTTGAGAGTAGTCCTACAATGTTACAAAGGGGTGTGTTGAGGGGACCGCGTTATGGTGGCGTTTTGTGAAGAGACACGGGACCTTGTGACGTCTTGGCGGTCCTGGAAAATTCATCTCTGGTATTTGCGCCTCGGGCCATAGTCTCTCAGGCCATCCATTTGGCCTTAGAAACCTCATCGGCTAAGCTTGTGAAAATAAGCAACTGATATTCTCTAGCCCAACGTGTTCCAGACTGGATCTGTGCTGGTCGCATAACCGCACAAGAGCGTCTCCGACCTGTTCCCAATGGTAGGCGTATGTATACCTACCTACTCGGCAATACCCTGCCTGGTATAATTGAGATAGACCTAGAGCAATTTTGACATCTGTGTTGGTGTTGTTCCTGGAAGAGTCACCATATGCGCGCTGACGGCATGCCTGTACCAGCATGGTTACATCACGTACGAGCACATACCTACAACTATCAGTTGATGACTCCTACTCGATACAATGTAAGGCGGCCTTTCAGCCGTCTACAGTAGACTAGACCAAAATAGAGACGATGCATTGAAAGAGATCGATGCCCTACTGGTAGCATCGTAGCATATTCCATTGCGGTGATCATTTGTCCAACACCCTACTACCACGGCAACTCCGAGACTAAGCGAATGCAATCCTTACCCACCAGTTTTATCGCGCGCCCAGACGCATTTGCGTGGAAATTTCTTCGGTAATATTCTTTTTTTTATCGCAAACAGCAACAATTATACGGATGGGTAGAGAAATGACGCAAAGTAGAGATGCTCGTGAACACACTAAAAAGTGCTCAGGTGGGCTTCTGCTCATGCCGAGTCAATAATAACAAAGCATTTATAAGGCGTCCAACATTTTTGATGCACTCTATTCTCATCGCCGATGTAAATTGGTGTTGACACGGGGGCTACAGAGACCTTCAATCCCACCACCCTTTCGCATGTTGCCTTCGGTTTGTTGTTGTGAAGCTGAAGAAAGTTTGTCCGAAGACACTGGGGCTTATCAATGAGGCAAGCTATTCTGAGAACGATTTAGTAGTCACTGTACTTTGGGACTTGCAAAATCTGTAGACCAGTCGTCATCATCAGATTACACTACACCTCGCCCGCCCTACCGGCTATTCTATTGTAGAGAGTTGCATCTTGCAAAGAAAGATCATGTTCGAAGAAAGCCGATGTTTGTATAAACATCCGATACGAATGCATCTAGACTTCAGCTACAACGGACTAGCGCCACTGACCCCGCCCGCCCAGTGCTACCTCGACGTGTCAAGCCTCACAGCCCCTTGCCGCCTGTTCTATACCTCAACAACACTCGGAAGACTTCATGAATAGCGTCTCCAGCCGATCATGGGCTCTAAATCGCCAGAAGAACATCAGCAAGGCCACAATGGTGGGTGTATAGCAAGTCTCGTTATACTTTTACAACAATCTGACAACCTTGGCTAGGGTCGTCCGGAGACGCCGCAATTGCAGTGGTTAACCCGCCCAAGTCAGCCGTCGCGAGCGGCTTACTTCAAGGCATGCTCGAAGGGCAGGGAGAAGGCGATGACGATGACGACGACGATGACGAGAAGAATCGAGTTGACGTGAAGACAACGGATGGTAAGTTAATTGCATTTGGTTGGAATGCAGGTATTAAACTATGCAGGTGCTAAGAAAAAGAGGAAGCGCAATAACAAGAAGAGGAACAAAAAGGGACCAGCTACACAACAGTCATTCCCACCCAAAGTCCCTCTGTCGGATCTATTTGATGGCCGTCCTTACCCTGAAGGTCAGATTGTCGACTATGCCCTGAAAGATGACAACCTCCAACGTACCACGGCCGAAGAGCTTCGGCATGAAGCCGCCATGAGTAACATGGACGGAGACTTTCTTAAGGACTACCGCAAGGCTGCTGAGATACACCGTCAGGTCAGGCATTATGCGCAAAAGCTGGCCAAGCCCGGTGTGTCCATGACTTACCTTGCTGAAGAGATAGACGAAGGTGTCCGTGCACTGACTGGTCACCGTGGTCTCGAACCTGGCGACAGTCTCAAAGCTGGGCTGGCATTTCCGACTGGACTTTGCCTGAACCATATAGGCGCACACTGGACGCCAAATGCAGGTGCCAAAGAAGTCTTCCTTCAACATGATGATGTCCTCAAAGTTGACTTTGGGGTCCATGTCAATGGCAGGATTGTCGATAGTGCATTCACTGTGGCTGCTAACCCAGTCTACGACAACCTGCTAGCAGCCGTAAAAGCGGCCACCAACACCGGACTCAAGGTAAGGCAACAATTCACTTCCCACACATACTCCGAATCCCTTGTCTAATATTCGATCTACAGGAGGCAGGCATTGACGCCCGGATCGACCACATTAGTGAGGCCATCCAAGAAGTAATGGAGAGTTACGAGGTCGACCTCAACGGCAAAACAATCCCCATCAAAGCCGTCCGCAACATCACCGGCCACAATATCCTCCGCTACCGCATCCACGGCGACAAGCAAGTTCCCTTCATCAAGACCAAGACCAACCAACGCATGGAGGAAGGCGACATCTTCGCCATCGAAACGTTCGGTAGCACAGGGAAGGCCTATCTGCGAGACGACGTCGGTGTATATGGCTACGGACGCAGTCAGCACGCCAACACGGCTGGCTTGCACCACGCATCCGCGAAATCGCTTCTCAAGACCATTGACGAAAACTTTGGTACTTTGGTCTTTGCCCGTCGCCAGCTCGAACGTATCCCGGGGGTCAAGAGCTACCATCTTGGTATGCGCTCGCTTGTCAATAGTGGTGTTGTTGAGGCCTATGCGCCACTTGTTGATATCCCTGGGTCGTACATTGCGCAGTTTGAACATGTGAGTTGATATCTCTGGTACTTACCGCACCCGGTGAGGAACAGATTTGCTAACGTGGTTACCTTTCTCGATTTAGACAGTTCTACTGCGTCCTACGTGCAAGGAAGTTGTTTCTCGTGGAGACGACTACTGATGTGGGGTTTAGGAGAAGAAGATGGGCGCAAAGTCGACTTGGCTGATTTATGTTTGGCAAGAAGTTGTAGACAACCAGTATGAGTTTGATTGTCGTCCTCAATGCTGAGAGGAGCTCAGCGCCATTCGTTTATTGGGGGTCTGTGATACCTTGGTTTCAACACAAAAAGGTCACAGCAATTCGGCAGAAGGAGCTGTTTTCAACAACGTTCCTTGAACACTTTATGTAGTTTGATAAAATCACACATCAAGCAGCAACACACTCAGTCATAGCAGTGAAGATAAAAGTAGCGCATACAGATTACGAGCCTACACTTCAAAACTAACTAAAAGAAAATGTGTGTCAAAGAAAAAAAAGGGGGGGAGTCGCACAAGGATTCGGCGCTGGATATCTATCTATTGCGAATTTGCGCAGCCGAATCACTCACAAAGAAGGGGAGGGGAAGGTAGGGAAAAAAGAAGACAAGAAAAAAAAGACTCCGACATGTCCAGCTTCCCCAGCAAAGACATCGAGCGACCATCCAAAAGACCTAAAGAAAAACCCAACTCACCCAACCTACTACGCTTTGTTGCTTGTTCACCCACTCACTCCCTTCCATATCAAATACATTATCATATCGTACAAACGCTAATCAAAGCGTAAAAACAAGGAAACAACGTGAAAAACGTGACAAACGTAAGAAAAAAAAGACTACTTACATCACCTAATCTCGTGTATACCATCAAAATCCATACTGTCGTCTAACCGTACCTCGTGGTCTGCGTCCGGTACCAGGTCCGATGTCGATGCTCTGAAGTTCGAGACTGAGCGCCATGTCTTCGTTCTGGGAGCCATAGGCGCCGCTACCCATGTCGAGAGGCACCTTGGCGGGAATGGGGGGTGCCGTGATGCTGTGCCGCTGGGTGCCATGGCGGTCGTAGCCAAGGCTGCCGTAGGTGTTTGGGTTCTCGCGTTCACGGAGGACTTGCCTGTCTGGCAGGTTGTATTGGTGAGAGGAGTCGTACGAAGAGACGGGACGGGGCTGTGGGTCACGCCTCTGCAGTCTGTTGCGTCCCATTGAGCCGGTTTGTGGAGGGTGTTGGCTTGCGAGGACAAGTGCACCGGCATTCACAGGCGAATTGTAGTCATTGAAATCGTGTCTCGCAGGCACAAGTGCTGTGCTGTTATCAAAGTTCATGCTTGCTGCGTGACGTAAGCGTTCCCTTTCAGCACGGTCGCGTTGGTATCTCTCCTCGCGCTGCATCGCAGCCTCGAGGTCACGGCTACCGTTCAGCTGCGGTCGGGTGCGAGCTGGCTTTTCCTTGATAGTACCCTTGGGTACAGGTTCGGGAGCCCAGTTGTCAACCGGTAGATGGTCTGAAGCATCAACAACGCGGCCACTGAAGGTGACAATTTGACCCTTGTCGTTGTACTCCATGCGGCTACCTGGTCGCTCGGCCTCATCATCTGAAGGAATTGGCGACTTGGATAACCTAGGATTGTATACGTCGAAGCTGTCAGGGTTGAATGCTACCCCAGACAATCTACGTTCACCAAAGTCTTCTCCAGGAGGCGGCGGACGAGGCGACACTGACTTGCGGGTCGGCATACTACGTGCAGGCATCCTAGAAGAGCGATCCACAACTGGGTTCGGAGAGTGGCGGTCCATGTCAGGATGGGGAGAATAGCGATCCATATCAGGATTTGGGGAGTGACGCTCTGGTACGGGATTCGGGGAGTATCGTGGACTCACACCCGGACTAGTGGCACGGGGCTTGATAAGTGGCGTGGGATCATACACTGGAGGAGACCGCTGTCGAGGCTGCTCAGGGGGATCGTGAGGGTAGTAATCGTTCATGTGATATGCTGAATGATGAACCAGTTCCTGTGACTGCAAAGGGGTCTCAAACTGAGTGATGGCTCGATACTCAGCAGGCTCCGAATAGTGACGAAGCCTTGGCGTAGACTCATAGGACGGAGGTCTGTCATATGTTGGAGCTTCAATCTCTTGTCTTGCGGGATTGAGCCCAGCGATAAGACTTGATGGCAAGGCGGGCATATCCTGCCTCACAGGCTCTTGTCGAAGGGGCTCCTGTCGCAGCGGAGAGGGTACCATTATTTCCTGAGATATCGGACGGCTTACTGGCTGCGTTTGCGCACGGGGATGAGTGTACCTTCGTTCAGAAGGCTGTCGGGGTGCATAGTCCACAGGCTCGTACGTCTGCGGCATATCATCGAAGCTGATTCGACGAGAGTCTTCTTGAGCTCGTGGCGTGAAATTGAGCGGCGCTGGAGCGTCGTCCTGATACATTTCACGACTTTCCCTGTGGGCATGAGGAAGTGTACTTGCGTTGCGGTTGTGCATAGGCGGTGGTGGCGGCATGTCGTCTTCGTCCTCAACCATGGGCTGCATTGCACTACGTCTTCGGTGGGTAGGGCTTTCCTCCTGCGGTGGAGGAGCTTCGATGAATCTCTGGCCATAGTACGGGTTCTGAGGGGATGCCTGGTCCTGGCCGTACTCCCGACTGCGGCTACTCCGTAAAGGTGCGACTTGGTAAGCAGGATCCTGATACTGGTCGTGGAGGTGAGATGGGGCAGGCTGCTGTGGTGGCTCGGCCCTCGCAGGCGGCGCCGGTGGTGGTGGTGGCTGCTGCTGATGTTGCAGCAGTTGCTGTTGTAAGTACTCAATTTGTTTTTGCTGGTCTTGTATCTGCTGCTCATGTGCCGTGGGCTCATAGGTGTGCTGGGTCGGGACAGCTGGGGCCGAGTGCGAGTGGACTGGCTCGGGAAGTTGCTGCTGTTGATAGCTACGGGGAGACCGAGCGTCATCTTGTGACATTTTTCTTGGCCCTGGGTTGCGTACATGTTGTGGCAGAGGGTCGATAGGCTTCACTTCGTACGGTTTAGGTGCTGCATATGACATGTCGAAGCTCTCTTCTCTCGGCATTGGCATCCTCTGGTTAGATGACCGTGGATTGGGCAGTGTGCTATACGCAGACTGGGGGGCGTGGCGTTGAGACACGCTCTGGCTCGATGCCGACACATGATGCAGTGGGGATGAGTCCGGCACGGGCCTACGACTGGGTGGGTCTTGCTGGCTTCGATGAGAAGGCGGCGTTTCGTTTAGCGGTTGCTGGTGTCGTGGTGATCCTAATTCTCGAGGTCCAGCACGCATGCCCCGTAGTCCTCGGTGTTCTGGTGTCTGAAGGGGTGATGGTGTTACGCCTGTTGGGTCGGTGGGCAGCGGTCGTCGCTTGACCGGAGCCATCTCTCGTGCACCACCAACAGTCGCCTTTCCCTCGGGTCTGGTCGAAGTTCGCTTCTTCTCCTGGACAGCATTCTCTGCCTTGGGGCGAGTGTCGTAGAAGGTGATTTCCATGCGGAGCTCGCCGGCATACTTTCCTTTGCAATTGAGGCCCAGCCACTCGTCGCTCTGTCCACCGCCAGGCGTGATGACGGATTGGAGATTTGCCCAGGCCTCGCCAATCAGTTCCGTCTTCTTGTCGTCATTGAATACCGAGACCTTGAGGCGGTTGTAGTCTGGAGAGTCGTGAACTGTGAAGCGTAGTTCTTGGTCCCTGCATACGTCAGAAGTAGGGCTTTGGCTAGTGGGCCATGGACTCACCATTTTGGAGTCTGACCTCCGCGTTTGTCTGTCCGGGTCTTCTTTGCCTCTTTTCCTAGACGGGCTGCACAGTACGGGTCTTGCTTTCCCATTGTGCGTTTGTTTGGCAGATTTCTGGCGCGGTCCATGATGACTACCAGGGTGCCTATTACCGGCCCATCGACAGTCATGTCTGAAAAGATACCGGCAGCGTGGGCGCCGCCGAAAGCGGGCGTGTGAGCCGCCTTGCTCGCCATGGTGAGGCTGTTTTTGTTGTTGTTGCCGTTGTTGGTGTGCCTATGTTGTGCTGGGGAAGGAAGGAAGGCGCGTCGAGCGGGATGGGGAGCAACGAGTGGTGAGGCCGCCTGGGCAGCGTAGTCGTGGTGGTGGGACTACGGAAGCGGACATGCGCTGCACTTGCAGGCAGGTAGAGCAGAGTAGGATGGAGGGCGGAGGAGCAAAATGAGCGGGCTGCAAGTGACTGCGGGTGGCTACGAGTGCAAAAGCAAAAGAGCGACAGTGCAGCGGCAGCGGACGTGGGTCAAGAATGGCGACGCGTAGGGCAGTAGGGCAGTAGGGCAGAACTGCAGTTGTTCTACTCGATGTTACGCATGCTGTGGCTGGGAATGTCCAGCCTCTCTCAGCTCCGCTTCGGCTTAGCCCCGAGCACTCCACGCCAATCACCGGGCCACCTGCTGCGCCCACCGCCCACTTTGTCATCTTCCCCGTCAGATCACTAGGGGGCGTACCTTGCAGCTCCATCAGCTTTCTTCGTTAGCCTTGTTTTGACCTGCGAACGCCCTGCCGCGCTATCGCAAATGCTCGTTTTGGCCGTCCCAAAATGCCGTGGCTGGTTCGCGCTTGTCCGTCGCACCATATCAGCGCCCCTCTTCGCCCCCAGCGACTGCGAATATAGAACGCCCGGCATATCAGGCCTCTGCACCCGGCTCCCAGCAGTCCCGTTCCGGTGTGTGTACACTCTGCCCTCGCCGTGGTACGCACTCGCTCGTATCGCATCCTGCTGCTTGTCCGTCTCACTGCTTCCTTCGCCTCACCCTTCTTGTACCCTGTGCCGTGCCATGCTTCTCACTGCATGCGGCAGGTCACGCCCACCCATGCCCTGTTATCCGTTCCAAGTATCTGCATATCGGCACTACTCTCCGGGCTGGAAAAGGCCTCGGTCGCTTTGTTGCGGTGCAATCTTCTCAAGTCTGGCCGCGGCTCAGCCAGGCTATCTTGATTGTCGAGGCCATTGTGCGGCTGGTTTCTACGGGGACAGAGTCGAATCCAGGGATACCGTTGATCTCCCGCCCGCCAATCGAACTATGAGATCACTCCACTCCTCGGGGCGGCCTCAGATACGGTCCTAGGAGATGGCTGGTGCATGCATACATACTGTCACAGGGCGGCCATATGCGTGCTATTACCGAGTCGCCTATTCGTCACATGTCTAGGGTGATGTCGTCGATTGTGTACATACCATTACGCACCGCCGAAATTGCTACCGAACAATCTCAAGGCGACTTGGATGTGAATTTCTTGGCGATCTCTACGCGCAGTCCAGTCCACTGTGTTGGGCCTCAGCAATTCACTGCCGCGGACGTTGCGTGTTTTTGTTTTGGCGCAAACAGACCATCAGTAATTACTGACATGCTTTGGCACGGAAATGGCATAGCGTGTTTGTTCCCGTGACAGCGCGTCCCCGCGTTTCGCGACTTCCCTGCGCTCACTACGTACGGCCCTCGCCACATACTACGCCTTCAAACGCGGCACGCAACAGCAACGCACCTGTATCATAGCAGTCAAAGCTCTGTTGTTTTCCAATGTCGCTGTCAAGATGCCGACACATACGCCCTCACCGCACCGATTCCTAGCTCCAAATCCGCATTCAGCGCAAAAGTCGACTAGACCACATTCGAGCCTGCGCAATGTTGCTGCAATTCCGTCATCCGCTTCTGCAAAGACACCTACGCCTGCAGGATCAACAGAGTTACCATTTAAAAGGCTGACGCCTGCGAAGCGCTTTGTCGTTGCTCCGCTACAAAAGAACCCTGTTGCGGAAACTGCAAAGGTCAGCGAAGCAGACGCCAATCCAGATGATGGTGCACAGTTACAGCACACGCCGCTACCAAGACCACGCAGAAAGCTCGAACGAGTGGAAAGCATAGAGGAGCCATCGCAATCAAGCCAACAAGATGCCAAAGAACATGTCTATGCCTCTGGCGTCATATCCTCCCACCAAGACCAGGATATGCTGTCCGACCAACTCAAGCAATATGAGCAAAACGAAGAGGATGACGAAATGCTCTTTGAACCAGCGACACGAACCAAACGGCGCCGCAGGTCGTCACCCACTTCTCCGTCCTTGCAGCCACTAGAGCCCTCAACAACGCACCGTTTCAAGGTAGCACCACCCCGCACCCCTGCACCGTTCCCAAGCATCGCCTCCGTCGTGGCCAAACCCCCAGCACCTTCAAGTCGTCCTCATTTCATTCTCCCTGAATCACCGACGTCCCCTCCCAAGACTTCCAGGCCACCACCGGAAATCTTCTCTCCATCCCGCAAGCATGCAAAGTACGTTCCTGACGGTCTTGCGTCCACAGTCTCTGTCTGGGTTATCGAGGCGGCGAATACGGGATTTGCAGCGCAGGAAAGGAGCAGCGGGTCTTGGGGACGCGACAAGGATGACGGTATCAAGGTACGTGTAAAGATCAGTTGCCTATCCAGAGGCGGAGCGAGTGAGTATGAGACACAGGAACTCGAATGTCATGCTGGTGGTGTTGTGTTCGCAAGGGGCCAAACAGAGCCAGGCATATATAATTCTTCAGCGGCATCCGGTCTTCCCAGCCAAAATAGCAGCACAAACATTCTCCTTGCTGGCCAGGGCAGTGTGAGAGGCTCGGGAGGTGTCAAGATCAACACTGGAAGCATGATTGGTGTGCGTGCGCCCACGTGGGAGATTGATGTGGGCCAGGAGAAGTGGTTGGTAGCTGTCGATTGGGTGGTGCTGTAAGCGATGGCACCTAATGAAGCAAGTATCTGTAAGGATATGAATGATGATTTACGAGCATGAAGACTATTTAAATTTAGCCTCAATCTACTAAGTAATGAGCTATCCGAACTAATCATTATCTACCTTGCTTGTTGTAAGTGTGGTAAAGAAGCCAATGCTGATAGCAGTATATCGGTATCATACCCTCCAGTTACATCTCAGTTGTTTGCAACTCTACTTAATGCTAGGTGCGGTAAGTTAACTGTGGTTGTAGCAAAAGTAATAGAATAGCGAACTACGGTTGCGACAACGCAGCAACTTACGAGTTACGGTTGAGATAAGGATACGTAGTATACTACAGTCATTCAACATATGTAAGTTCGTAATGTTTTGTCTGCGATCTATCGCTTTAGTTCTCTTTAATTCTAATCTAGTCCTTTTCCTATTCTTTTCCTATCCTCATAGTTACTATTCCTAAAAACATTCTTCTCTTTTCTTTTGTTATTATGACTGTGGTCTGCTTCTACATCTCTCCTATTTTATCAATCACTAATTAACACTAACATCTCTCAAGTTCGATCTCTTTCAGAATGCCCTGGTGGTATTCTATATCTGCCCGCCCCACTATATCCTAAAGGACCTACAGTAGTACATACCTCTCTGGACAGACCTCTTACTCTCTATAACCACGGAATTACCGCATCATCCTTGTCGAACAGATCAACATCAACAGATCTAGCGACGGTCACGCATTTATGGGAATTCATATATATTATTCTAAATACTCCCAATTCTGAAAAGAACCTCCGTCCGCTTCAAACAGACCATAGCGAGCTATCAAGCATCCCCTCTACGCTTCCGAGGCCACAAATACTGAAATTTGACTCCGACCTCTGGATCTGCAACATTAGCAACTAGAAGGCTGGACTGGATATTATCTCTAGTCATCCCCTGCGTAGATTTGGAGCGAGTTATGGGAGTGGAGGTACCACTAGCCCAGATACTAGCTATGGTATCAACAAGGAAGACTGAGGTTGAGCTTGAATGATCACTTCTGGGAGACTTGGAGCTCGATGAGTTCTCGATAAACTTATTGAACACGTCATTATGTGCGTCGGAATAGTTTGGGTAGCTGTCGGACTCGCCGCTCCAGGAGAGGAAGTGCAAAGCACAAGGGTTTGACAAAGGATGCTGCAACAGCAACAAGACCAAGAGAAACGACAAGTCTAAACAAAACAACCACGTGGAGAGATGCGAAAAGCCTCCTCACATTCATCGTCACCAAGATGCTACATAGTCTTCCAGAAATTGATTCCACATGGGCCAAAGCCGCCAATGTGTTTCACAACATCGGTTTGCGAGAACGAGCCGAAATAAACTCAAATCATGATGAATATGCTTATGCTGATGGAATGATCAACACTATCTTCAACAAGGCAGTAAAAACCAAAACATTCATGCCACCACCTTCACTCATCCTTTAGACTCTCCCCCAAGCATAGAGATTAATACTTGGGTAACATTTGGCACTACTAGTTCGACCTGCTCGGATGTGTACCTTGTACTAAGATGCATGCTGAGGAAGATGCATGTGGAGGGCAGAGACAAGTGCTTACACTGGAGGAAAGCTGTGCAGATGAACAAGGCATGGATGGAGAGAATAGGCATTATCCCATTCTTGGTAGAGAAGAAGGAAAAGGAAAGGAGGCTAGAATTGGGGAGAGGGACCAATAGGATGAACATGACCGAAGAGCCCAGATTGGGAGGGGAGAAGTAGGAGGGTGAAGATGACTACGCCACACGATAGGGAGGGTATCACTACTGGCCAATATGGCAACGTGGTCTCAACTTGTGCGTATGTTGTTTTCGGGCAGTGCAGGCGCTTGCAGATAGTAATTAAAGTTTAAACAAAGTCGTCTCGGTTTCCCTTTTTGATAATCTTTGCACCAATTGATCATGTTGAATTCTAAGGCTTACTGCTAGCACACTTGGCGCATGTCGACAGATAAGGACATCACGTGACGGCTGTTCATGTTCATATCTGCCCCCCCACCTTTTGGACGACATGCAGTACTCTACTGTAAAGATGACAATCCCTTGCTTACACAGCACATGTCGCCTCCCAATCTATCCCCATGGCATGGTCGCACGAAGCATTGAGCTGCGAACACGTACAGGCATCAGATTCGCCCGCGGCATTGGCATCTCGTCGCTCACTCCATCTTCTCCTCATTTTGCAACTGCAGGCTCGATAGCCGCTGGATAATCGCGCAACCGATGACGCCATGCATGTCAATACTGCTCACGGCAGTAGATTAGAGGGGTCTAGAGGAGACTGGCCATTGCATCACGATCGAGACGGCTGGAGCTTGGGCGGCGTCAATGGGCACGCAAAGATGCCCAGTCGACTGCAGTTCAACTGCTTCGCTGTAAGTACACAGCAGTACGTAGAGTACACGGCCAGGGGCTTCGGGGGTGGGTCACATGGTCGTCTTCCTCCTCTCAGTGTCCCACGTCGCAGAGAAGGCCATGGAAGTCAGAGACGGTCGGGTCGGCTCGACCTAATCGACGGCCTAGTGGCGCACTCCCTGCTCCCCGGCCCCTCGCCACGTCACTCAACCTCATCTACCCATACCCTCTCATTTTTTGCTATTGTCGCCAGCTCTCTCCACGCCGCCCCCTGCATCGGCATCCGTTTTGGTTCGTCGGCAGACGAGGCTTACATACGGGGTGCTCCTTGTTGATTGACGTTATCCCGCGCGCCCATGCTTTCCGGTGGCCGTGATTCTGGCCGCTCCAGAGTGACTACCAACGCTACATCGCGCTTCATCGCTCGCGACACATGCTGCACCTAGAACCCTACATCGGGCCAATGGCGGAATCACTGCGGATGCCCGAGCCCACCCTCCGGTCTCCCAATATTCTCTCTCTGAGCGAACGGTGATTCCCTACGTGGCCCAATGAGACTTACAGGCCAAGCTCGCCATCCCTCCGTGAGGCCTGCGGGAGCAGTCGGGAGTACCGCCCAAGGCTTGCCGAACCATTGTACGCACACTGCGCGAGATTTCTTCTTGCGACCTCTCGCATCGTGTCTTGTGACAGCTGTCCTGCAATTCTCCTCCGCCTGGTCGAGGTGTACCGTCGCAGCTTTGGCCCATTGAAGCCACGCACATAGCTCATCCACCACCCGCACTTCCCCTAGACTGACACCATCTCTTGTTCGCCTCTCCGCATTCAATCTTTGCGCCCCACGTTGTGTGTGCCCATTGCATATCCCTTTGTTGATTATTGCCTGCAATGGAACGACGAAAACGTCAGATATACTAGCACGTAGCACCACTTGTCATATCCTCGGACCTCAAACCCACAATCACTCTGTCTGTCTGACCCATCATGCGTCAATTCCAGCAGGTCTCCATTTCTAAATGGGAAGACCCGTACGGTAACTCTGCACCAAACACTGTGCAGAACATTTATGGCACCCCAAGTCCACCACCACAACCACAGGGCTATTACGCCACAGCAAACATACCGCAGCCGCACAGCTATTATGCCGCACAAAGTGCACCACCACCGCCGATACTTCTTCGCCGTGTAGTGCCACCACCCCCTACATTGTCTTATTCGATTGGTAGCCAAGGGGCAGGTGAGGACAACAAGAATAACAATGATCAGCAGAATCAATTGACAACTATTGATGTAGGAGATTCCCCAGCTACGCCACTGGAACAACCTCCAGCGGCATCGAATGCTACTATACAGGCAAACACCGAGGGGACTGCCCCTGAAAATATATCAGCCCAGGCACCTGTTCTTCAAGGTAGTGAGAGTGATGATGTGACAGGAAAGATTGTAGCTAAATGTGTCAAAGATGAACCTCCAGGACCACCGCCACCTCCACCAGCACCAATAGCTATTGCCCCTGTCCCAGTTCAACGAAGCCCACCAGCGCCAGCGCCTGCACCAGCACCCCCCGTGCAATATGCAAGTCCTCCACCAGCACCCGCACCCCCCGTGCAATATGCAAGTCCTCCACCAGCACCAGCACCCGTGGTCCCATCACCTCCGGCATCAGTTGTAGGGAGTGAGAAGAGTGGTGAGTCCGAGCAGGCCGCTCAAGAGCCCCCCAAATCCCCAACAACCAAGTTTGTTCATTTTACCTCTGACACAAAAGACCCAGACGCCGCAGAAGATGGTAAGAAGAAGAAGCCAATTGGGTTTACTAGAGTTAAAGCTACCGCATTCGTTCGTTTGAAGAAATCATCGACGACTCCTTCTGCACCCCCTCCAAAAGAGGAAAAGAGGAAAATCATTTCTCCAGAAGGCTTTATTAGAAGACGGAGAAGGAGCTCGCTCTTCTCGTCCTCGTCTTCCGAGAAGCTTAAGCCCAGCAAGGAAGAGAGATCCAGAAGCAAGAGAGGCAATGATCCTAGTCCGCCTTCGAGTGATGCTGGGACAAGCTATGTACCATCTGCTCCTTCATCTGTTATTTCTGAGAGCGTCATTGTCGAGGAGACAGCGGCAGATGTCGCGCGATCGATTGTCAGCGAACCTGTCCCAGTACCACTACCTCCTCCACCACCTCCTCAACCGATAGAAGAAGCCCCTGCTCCTGTAGCAACACCGCCCGCCGCAGAAGAGCCTGTCATCGAAAACGAACCAGCACCGGCAGCACCTCCTGCAGAAGCTCAAGAATCCTCACCTGAGGAGCCACCACAACCGGACGAACCCGTTGCTGCTGCCTCTGATGCTAGCGGTTCTGCGCCTCTTCCTGAAGCCCCAGAACTAGTGTCGGTCGAGTTTGTCGTCGCTGAAGTTGTTCCATCACTAGCCGGGTCAACGGTTGAAGCTGCTGATCAGGACGAAAATCAGGTGCCAGAACCATCAACAGAAGTCAATGAATCGACCAGTGAAGAAGATCAGGTAGCTAATGAGCCCGCTTCTGAGCCGGCACCGGAGCCAGCGCCGGAACCAACACCGGAACCGGTGCTCGAGCCAGCACCGGAGCTAGTGGAAGAGCCCGCAGCAGCAGAGCCAGCCCCAGAACCAGCTGCAGAGCCAGCCCCAGAGCCAGTCGCAGAGCCAGCCCCAGAACCAGCTGCAGAGCCAGCCCCAGTCGCAGAGCCAGACCAAACTCCTGCGGTCGAGACTGCTGCTACTGAGCCTGAAGCTGAGATCGCTGTCGAGGTACCATCTGAACCACAAGAGGCCGAGGCCGAAGAGGCAAAGCCCGCTGGGGACGCTACCGCTGGTGATGAGGCAGACGTAACACTAGCAGCCCCTGAAGAGGCCGCTGCCGCTGAAGAACAACCTGTTATTGAAGAAAAGACTGTCA